GTGGGAGGGTCTGCTGGCTGGGTGCTGGCAGGCTTGCACCTGGCACGGGCACCGTAGCCAGACCGTGTCCCTTTAAGGGCTCCGGTGCTGGGAGGGGGGCAGAAGAGTTTCCCTGGTGGTGCCCAGAGTGGCCACCAGGGCAAGCTGGGGAGGGCTAGCCTCCCACTAGTTCGAATTAAGTGGCTACACAGCCCTTAATTCGAACTAGGCGTTAGTCCTTGTAGAATGAGATTTACCTAGTTCGAATTAAGCGCTCCGGTAGTTCGAATTAAGTTCGAACTAGCGGTTTGTATGTGTAGCGCCTATCAAAGTTAATTGGAACTAACGTCTGTTAGTTCGAATTAACTTTGTAGTGTAGACATACCCAGACGTCCTGAGGACCAGGTAACAGCAGATAACACCTTGGACCTGGGAAGCAGAAGAAAGGAGTAGGTGGGCTGCCTAGAGGGCTGAGACCAGTTGCTGGGTGTGTGAGTTTAGTTTTCTGCTGGCTTAGGGAGGAGGGAATCTCGCTTTCAAGGGCCCAGAGCCCTGGCACTGGGCCTCTTTATCCCCAAGATGGATTGCACTGAATGCTCCTGTCAAGGCTCCTTCCCCACTCTGGCATGATAAATACAGAAGTGGGGGCCTGCAAAAGTACCCCAAAACCTTCTTTCCAGGCTTTGGTAAAAACTTCTGCCCAAAATCTTAACCTAGATTTTGGGGATAAAAACTCCACTGCCACTACCCAAGTCCTGATAAGAAAATCAGGGGAGAGATCACTTGGGAAACCTCACCCCTAAAGTACAAATCAGGACACACAAATTAACCAATGCCAGGTAAAGAAAAGATAAAGAACTTTTATTATCAGTACAATATTCCTGTTGCAAGCATAATGACTAGATGGAAAAGTGACAAAGTAATATACTCATGGAGGAGAAACCCACCATGGGCCAGGAACTCAGGTACAAAAGAGAGCAAAAAGTGTTTTTAATATACAGACATCAGATCCCATTTCCCAAGCCATAAAACAATAAAACCTAACGGATTTATCTAAACTTTACCCTACTTACAGAAGAATGAAGAGTCTGTTCTTGGAGGGAGACGTTCTGTCTGACTCCCTCAGTAGCTGGAGAGAAACTGCCCAGGACAAAGGAGGGAAAAATAAAAAATTCCTTTCTCCCAGTTTGAAATTCCTACCTACATTCCTATTGGCTGAATCTACCTGACTTAAGGTTAACCCCTCAGTTCCCAGGCTGCTGGCTAACCCTCCAGAAGACTGGAAAAGGGCAAATATTGTGCCCATCTATAAAAAGGGGAATAAGAACAACCCAGGAAACTACAGACCGGTCAGTTTAACGTCTGTCCCAGGGAAGATAATGGAGCAGGTAATTAAGGAAATCATATGCAAACACTTGGAAGGTAATAAAGTGATAGGGAATAGCCAGCATGGGTTTATGAAGAACAAGTCATGCCAAACTAATCTGATACCTTTCTTTGATAAGATAACGAGCCTTGTGGATAAGGGAGAAGCGGTGGATGTCATATACCTAGACTTTAGTAAGGCATTTGATACGGTCTCGCATGATATTCTTATTGATAAACTAGGCAAATATAACTTAGATAGGGCCACAATAAGATGGGTGCATAATTGGCTGGATAACCATAGTCAGAGAGTTGTTGTTAACCTCTAAAAATTTGAAATGTAGGTCAGACCCCTTTGGAAATCTTAGATGTACTCTGTGGACCCCCATGTTGTCCACAGATCACAGTTGAAAAATCACTGTTCTATGGCAACAATGACCTTTTACAGACCCTCATGGACATAGTCTGTGGACGACATGGGTCCACAGGCCTGAAATTGAAAAACACTGGCCTGCACCATTAATGACCCAAGGGAGCCTTATTCTTGAACCTCATTGAAATTTCTTTACATAGTTAAAGAATCTATACTATAAATATTACTGCATCAGAAATAATTTCTGGTAAGTCTTTAAAGTCATTGAGCCAAATTGACTTTAGATACTTGCACACAGCACACTGAATTCAGTGAGAGTTGTACTTGTTAATGTGAAAGCAGGATTTGGACTTTCCTCTTGCGGTATCTATGAGACAATGTATGTGTGCCTGTATCTATAGTGTAGACGCTAAATTCCTTGTATCTTTGTAAAGTAGCCACACTATAAAGCCCTGTATAGACAAAGTGAAAACTGTAGTAGGATACTATGAAGCAACTCCATGGAATATTTGCAATTTCGTAAAAGAAAGGATTTAATGTTCTCCCTTCATTGCTGTACTTTGTAAATTAAATAATCTGGTAATATAAAAATGTATATAGGTACTAGTTCTAGTTATATCTGAGACTAAAAAGCCATTGAAAGTTGTGTTGTGAATGTAATACTATAACCATTTTGAAAGTCTCAGAGAGGTAGCCATGTTAATCTGTAACTAACAAAATTTTAAAAACAACAATGGTCCTGTAGCACCTTAGAGATCCACATGGGTGGATCCTTACAGCTGCTCACAACCCAATGTGGTTTCCCTGTCAACAAGTAAACCTTCTGTTCTAATTGCTGGTTGAGAGTCACATCTGACTGCGGATGGAGGTGCAGGGACCAGTGACACCCCCACTCTGACACCTGGATTTATAAAGGCAATATATTTATTTTCTTACCTACCCCTTTCCTGACGAGTACCAATATTTTGTTAGGTATTTTTTGGTACCCGGTGTCAGGCTTTCTGGAAATATTAAGTACATTATATCCACTGAATCCTTTAATATTTATTTATTTATTTTATTGCCTTTCTAATTATATTTTAACACTTCACTTAGAATCATAGAATAGTAGAACTGGAAGGGACCTCAAGAGGTTTCCCCAGTACCTGGTAAATCTAAACCCTTCTTTCCTACGCTGTTATCCTATCAACACATAAAATCTAGCAAGTCTGCCTGTGTACCTGACCCTGTGGGTGGAACTGGAAGTGTTTCAGCGAATGCTACCATGGGGGCTCCAGGACTTAAATTTCTTACCTAGCAGCCTAAATTTGCCTTCCAGAACCCCTCTCTCTTAATCTCCCCTTTAACACCTGTCTCTTCCTAATAACTCAAGTTCCCTCCCCCAGAGAAGTATTGCCAGTGCAAGGGTATACCATGACATCTGGAAGGAGTGTTCCAACTATGGGATTCACGTTTCCTTCTGCTTCGGGAGCTCCGGATGCACACAGGCTATGTCTAGACTGCAAGTTTATTTCAGAAGAAGCTTTTCCAGAAGAGATCTTCTGGAAAAGCTTATTTTGAAAGAGCGTCCACCCACCAAAGCACAAGAAAAAAAGCAATGTGCTTTTTCAAAAGATAGCACCCACATTGGACACGATCTCGCATTTAAGTTGTGATTAGTATAGACGAAGTTGCCACCAGGGCACCTGTGTTATTTCCCGGAGGCCTCTTCTTTCAAAAGAAATCCCTCTTCTGCATCCACACACGCCTTTTTCCAAAAGAGCTTTTTCAGAAAAAGGCTTCTTCCTCTGTCAAAAGAACACAATAGCAGTGTGGATGCTAGTCTAGTTTTTCTGGGAAAAAAAAACGTTTTTCTGGAAAAACGCTGAAGTGTACACATACCCATATGCACATAGGAGCTCCGAATGCACACATACACGTAGCATATATGCTATGATGGATGCAATAATCTGGATAGCCTTCCTCTGCTTCTGCCTGCATCCTCTTTTTACTCTGCGAGCTAATTTTTTTATGTGCCTTTTTAAAAATTAGGTGCTTTCGGTTTTAGTTTAAAGAAGTGTACAGAATAGTAAGTGTATCCAGCCCCCTTAAACACTGCCTCTACACTCTGGCAAAACAAAAAACAAAACAACCCTGTTAGCCCTCCCTTTATTTCCTGTCTTTTAACCCGAGTGCCAATGTTTTCAAGATCATCTAATGATCTTTAGTTCATATTAATGAAAAGCCTTTTGTTATCTTAATCATCCTGCCTCTATTTATAAACAAACCCCCTGCAGCAAAAGGTATGCTGCTCTTAGCCTCTGAATTTGTCACTGATCAAGCTCTGGCTCTGTTGCAGTTAAAAGCTCTATCTGGGGCTAGAGTGAGTAGACCCCAGTACAAAATTCATGGGGACTATACCCCCCTCTAAATGGCGTCCCTGTCTGAGCCGCAAGTTGCCCACCACTGCTTTACAGGGTCATTTTACTCGAGCTAGAATACTGTATTAGAGGAGCAGCAGAACTGTTTTTTATTTACAGGCAGTCCCCGGGTTACATGGATCCGACTTACATCGGATCCCTACTTACAAACGGGGTGAGGCAACCCCGCACTAGCTGCTTCCCCCCAGCAGACCAAGGAAACGCGAAGCTAGCGCCCCCCCTCCCCAGCAGACCAGGGAGACGCGGAGCGGCTTTTCTCAGCAGACACCTCAGCCTGAGAATAAAGGACTGAGGGAAGTGAGGTGTGGGAGAATAAAACTGAGCTCTGGAGAAATGGTTGGCTAGAGTTTCCCCTACGATATGTACCAGTTCCGACTTACATACAGATTCAACTTAAGAACAAACCTACAGTCCCTATCTTGTACGTAACCCGGGGACTGCCTGTATTTATTTTTAAAAATGCCCAAAAGCCCATAGAAGAGTTGGGAAGGGATAGGAAAGAGAAAAGGGCAAACTTTGGCAGCTGCTTCCAGGGACTTCTGGTGTCAGAGGGACATTCCTTGTTCTGACCTAGTCTCCTCTGTGTCTCAGGACTACCCCGTGTGAGATTTCTTTGTGGGGTCGCAGAGATCATCAGGCTGGAGCGATGGGTCTTCAAAGGTCCTGCTGGAATTTATCTGAGTCGTCAACAGTTGCCTCTAAAATTGGCATGGGCCATATCCATCCACAAGAGCCAGGTTAGTGCTTTTCTAGAGAGACTGACTGCCACAAAAAGTATTTCCCTTTACCTGCGTGACCTTAGGTGCCTGTGCCAATGGCAGTAGCAGGAGAGGGTAGCCCCATGATGACAGCTATATAGGTTGGAGGAAGTAGAGATTTTGGGGGCAGGGTTGCCTAAGGATGCTTGCATTGCTGGTGATATGGAGGAAGGAAAACTGCCTCATTTTCCTTCCTTTGCCTCAGTTAAGGTATATTGGCTCAAGGGGTACTACCATTTAGAGTTCTGGAGCAGCAGCGAACAGGCCTGAATACATTACCTGGTGTCTTGGAGTGAAACCACCTTTCTTTTTAACTCTGTTGGCATGTATTTGGGTACAGCACAGTCAACGTTTAACAGTTACTAAATGGTTCAGTTTAAAACTGAGCACTGGATTGGTTTAGGCTAAAAATAAAATAAGCTAATTATCTAAAGAAGATGAAGTGACTTCAAATATGAGAGAGTTAGAAATAGGTAAAAACAAAAGTAAAAACGTGCTCTAAAAGTCTAAAATTTCTATCTAGCAAACTTTAGTTTAAGGCTCTGTTTAAGATGGCCTTTCTCAGTTTTTCAGCAAGATGGTAATTAACCTTTCCTTGGTCATTGTCTCTCACAGAGGCACAAAGATGCTGGTGTCTTTGCTATCTTAGGTGAAAGCGTTACCTTGGGAGTTTTCTGCTGCTTTCATTAAAAGTTCAGTGAACCTCTGATGTGGATTTTTCTGAGGGTTATTCTTCAAAATACACTTTATTCAAGCAATAGGAAGAAACATGGAGTCCAGTGATGAAGAAGATAAAATCCAAATTGTTCTGTTTCCTGTTGTGTCTTCCCCCTGTTGTCTTGAGGACCCTGTTGACTACTTGTATGTTAACTGAAGTAAACACATATTCTTCTTTGTGACAGTCTGTTCTGTTTTCCACTGTGGATTATGCTCATGTGCCCAAAGCTGGAGTTTTTGAAAGTAATACAGTTTGGTGATCAGCGTATGGAACTGCATTGCCATGCAGCAATTAAAGGGTGTGGTTGGCCACCAGCATCTCTAGTTCTTTCTCACTGCTTCATGGTCAGAGTTGGAGCGTCTCCTATCCCCTTGTCCTTGTGATGCACTTTGCAAAACAATTGCGAAAAAGCTATTTTTTGTTTTTACATTTTCTAGTTTAAATTGTTCCTTTTTAAAGACCCTCCTTGCACCCTTCTTTTACATATGTACTGATTATTAATCACCCTTGATGGAATACAGTAGGGGCCATCACTTAGGGCATGTCTACGCCGCAGGGCTAAAGCTGAAATACGCCAATTGCGTAGCTTAAGTCAAAATTGCTTATTTCAGCTCTAGCTACACAGCAGGAAGTCCTCTTCCTCTGACTTCCCTTACTCCTCGTAACATGAGGGGCATAGGAGTCAGAGTAAGAAGTCCTCCAGCTCAACATTATTTTGATATTGTCAAAATAACATAGTCTGCATCTACACTGTAAGCAGTTATTTCAGAATAACGTCAGTCATTCCAAAATAACACTGCTGTATAGATGTACTCTTAAAGAAGAAAACAAAGTTACTTATTTGTAATTAGAGACCATACATCTCAAAGAATCTCTGCCTGTACTACACTGCCCACTCTCCTTCCCCTCTGCCGCAGATCCAATAGGTCTGCAGTGGAGAAGGAACTGGGAGACACCAGCAGCCTGCCACGAGGCAATGCAGGGAGTATGCACAAACCACCAAATTGCACTACTTTCAAAAGCACTTGCTACACGCACATTCATAAAACCCTTAATGGAATACAGATAGGACCATACATATAAAAGAATCTCCAGTTCCAGGTAAGACACCTAATTTTCCTTTATTTAGGATAGACTTTGTGATAGGGTGCAGCCTGGGACTCTGGGACCATTTGGCCCCTAACTTTGCAGTCTGGACTGACTCACAATGACTTGCTGCTGACTAACAGCAAGCCCCTCCTTGTGTTATCACTTGAGCTCCACATGCAATTGTACTCACATCCAACTAGAGTGCGTGCATGCATGCTCCCAGAGCCACTCATGACTCACACAAAGGCACCAACCAATTCCCCTCTAGCTCCTAGCTTTGTACCTTAGAAACATACCATCTTGCACTGCTCAGGATGAGCAGTGCAAACTTATTGATTCACCACTTTGCCAATGGAAGGTGGATATGCACCAGATATCAATAGCTGAGCAATTACCAGACTATTCAGGCAAACTCACTGGCAAAGTTAAACAAATGTATTAACTACAAAAGATAGATTTTCAGTGAATAGAAGCAGTAGGCAAAAAGTCAGCTACCAAAGGAAAATAAAATGTAAGCATGTAGTTTAGACTTTCAGCTGTATTAAACCAGACAATATCCAGATCAAGCAGCTTTTCTCATCCCACTGGATACCACAGTCTTTAATATTCAGTTTTGTCCCATAAACCTGAGGCTTCCTCATCAATTAGAATCTTCAGTTGTCTTCTCACTGTCCTTCTTGCTTGCCACATAGGTGGGGGCAGGAGAAAGGTGAAACATGGGCCTGCTGTGTTTGGTTCTATACTTCTTAGTCCATGTGCTTGTGTAATACACGTCCAAGTATGTCTGGAGTTCCCAGGCAAGGCTGAGCAATTCCCCTTCTGTGACCTCATGCAGGTGAGTTACTGAACTGTAGCTCCCTTGCTAGGCAATGGCTGCTGATGGTCATTTGATATCCCACCTGGGCTTTTGGTTAGGTTACTCTCCTTGAAGTCTCTGGGGCATTGTAGTGAGTCAGCATGGCCTCCCGCTGACTCAGAGGAGGAAACTCCCACAAAAACTCCTTGGTGGGTGGTACCAGAACTACTCAGCCCCGCCCCCAGGAAACAGGAAGTCTGGGCTGGGGGGTATAAGAAGAGGTGCTCCAAACTAAGTTAGGGCTTGGCTACCGAGCTGAGCAGAGGCTCTTTCCCAGCCCCAGTGGAAGAAGGCCCTGCCACACTTCCCTCAGAGGGAGGATTGGGTTGTGCTGCCCGGGTCACTGCCGGGCCTTGAGCACTGGCCTAAACCGCCACAGCTGCTTGTGTATCCGGATAACTGGACAAAGCTGTGGAAGCCGCTGCCTGGGCCCAAAGATTTACTTAGACCCCCAGGACTCTTGCGAGGCTCAGCCAAGTGGTCTGGACCACCAAGACCTTTACCTGCGTAGGACCCCAAGCCTATGGACATGCTGCTAGCATCTCCGTCCCCAGCCAACACTGAGGAGCAGCAGCTGAGCCAGGTAGGCCCCCAGGGGAACATGGAAGTGGCCCAAGGACAGCCGACCCCGGGGAGGCTGAACAAATAGAGGTTGGCTGGGCAGCGCACTGCAGCTCAGACCCCGCTGACCCACCAACCTGAACGGCACATTACGGCTTGGAGCCCCACTGACCCAGTGGCTGTGGCGCTGCCACTGCTTAGGGCCCTGGGCTGGGACGCAGTGGAGCAGGTGGGCCTGCGTTCCCCCTGCTACCTCTTCCCTTGGGTGGCAGGTTCCCCCTGTGGGGCAGTACCCCTGTACTTGTCAGCTCTCCGAAAGCAAGGAGACCAATCCCTGGCTCAGCCTGCACATAGGCCTGCACCTTTAAATCTTGTGGACTATTTACTTGTTTAACTGTTGGTTGCCCCTTGAGTGCAGGCCCAGGCTCATAAACAGCTGTGCAGCCTACCAGACTACTGTTTACCAGTTCATTTGTTGCCCCTCCCTGACCCAGAGCTCGGGTGTATAAACTGCCTACTGACTTATTTGAAACTGTTTATTTACTGCCCCACCCCAAATGGGGGCATGATCTCTAGACTGCGGCCTGTGTTATCAGGGACTGCTTGACTGTTTGTTTGCTGCCCTGACCTGCACAAGGGCAAGGTCTCTAGAACTGATATTTGGCCTGAGGCCCCAAACTCTGGTGGCTCGAAGTGCGTCAGTGTGGCCTCCTGCTGGCACAAACTACTACAGGCATCAACATTTGACCGATTCCCCAATTTACAGCATGTTTTAATGACACCCATACAACACAATCTCATTTCATATACACTAATGATCAGGGCTCGCCGAACCATGGCAAGTCCCACTCGCCTGCCGTGCTGTCCGGCGATCTGCAAATGCGCAGATCGCCCGAACCCAGCTCTTCCAGGTTACAGTCTACTCGCCACGGACGAGGAGATTGTATTATTTGTTGAGCCCTGCTAATGATACACACATGTAGATGGAGGATTAGGTTTCAGCAGAGCATAATCTCTCCCCAATACTTTGCATAGCAGATTTTATATTAATATCACAGTTACCTACAATTAGGAATGTGGGAAGTGGTCCTTCAAGGTATAGAATGTCAAACGTGTTTAACACTTTTTGACTAGGTGCTGTTGTCTGGTTTTGAACGTGTTAACATTGTACAAGGATGATTCATAACTTCACATACAATATTATTGCATACATTTCACCATGATATTATTGACAAGCAAGTTCTCCTTCAAGTGGTGTCCCTATGGTGCTTCACTCATGTATCAGTGCTTCCTCGCTCCAGCGAACTGAGATTTTTGCCTAGCAGTGCCTTTCTGCATTGCGCATGTGCAGTCACTGTCTCGCACTGTTTTTGTCTGTTAGTTGTGCATGCAGCGCAAGTCCCCCTCACTTCCTTTTCTACCGTCCTTGGCAGAAGACGGAGTTGCAGAAGTGCACTCCTTTCTGACTGGAAACATAAAAATCGTGTAGTTAGTTTATAATTCATTAATAGTTTGTCAGCTTATAGTTGGTATTCTGTAGTTCTTGTCTGTTTAAAAAAAACAGCAACAAATGCTTCCCCCCCCCCTTTTTTTTCCTTCTGTTTTTTCTACAAGCTTTTCAACCTTACAAGTTCTTCTCTTCAAAATGACAGGCTCCCCTGGTTTTAAGAAATGTGATTTGTGCAGAGACTCGATGCCCGCATCCGATGGGCACATTTCATACATAAAGTGTTTTGGCAAAGACCACGTGGCCAG